GAACTTTTGCAGGGAGCAGGAAATCAGGTGGTTTGGGACTTGAAACCTTTGGCCAGCACTGAAGGGAGTGGGAAGGAGGATTTTCTGCAGTTGCTTTGTTTCATTGCCTTTCCATTAATATGATCATCTATCATAAAACCACAGCTAACTTAGTTTTATCTTAACATTTGCTTTCAGGTCCTCTTTAAATTGGCCACATTAAGTAGACTGGGCTTTAAAAAATCTGGACTGTAATAGGCAGCACAAACTACAGCAGGGAGGGCATGCAAACTCCATGCAGTTGGTATTTGTTTTGGCAATGTAACCTTGGATCCCAGCCCTGAAATCCCTACAGTGCTTACCACTATGAGTTGTTTCAGAATTTAAAATAGTACATGATTATTAACTTCCATATTTTTTTGTTTTTCCTTGTATTATTATAGGTTTGCTTTGGAAATTCAGCCCAGTATGCGGTTAATAATCCTGGGGCCATTTCTCCAAGTGCTAGGCAGACATGTGACACTTTGAGGTGTGATTACTTTCTTGCGTGGTAAAATCCCCTCAATCTGATTGTAGTAACCTCAGTCTCACCCTGCTTAGTAAGTGGCAAATGCGCAGCTCCCGCGTATGACTTACAGCTTGCTGCTTTTTCAAGATGTCCGTCAGTAAAATACTATTGTGTTATGTAACCTTTTTTTTTTTCTTTCTGCATTTTTACTTTTTTTAAATGTCCATTAGCCACTGAAAAAAAATTGCTGGCTTATTTTGAAAATTATTTTTCTCTGGTTGACATGCAGATCCAATATCTTCCGTTCTTTTAATGCATGACCCGTAGCCAGTACTAGATCAGCAGTTCTGGCTTCACGCTAACCCAGCTTGCTGTGTAAATGCATGCCCAATGCAAAGAGGTGTGAATTGGTTGTGAAGTTTGCTTTAAAGCACTGTATACCATAAACAATCAGACTTTTTTTTTTTTTTTTAAATTAAAATATCAGATGTTACTTTTTTAATCCTAGTGTATATGTGTGCTGCTGATCTGACTACAGCCACGTCCTGCCTATATACATGCATCTGCTGCAAAGGCTGCATGGCATTTCTGATGCAAATTGCCTGATGGTGACAACCTGTGGACTAAGAACTGCAAATGGTAGACATGGACAGAGCATTGTCACTGTTTAAGGTCCATGCACACAGGCTTAAAAAATACTAATTTGCAATTTTTTTTGTACTGGCGTTTAGGAGCGTTTTGCAGCGTTTAGAGTTTTTTTTCCTGCCAGAAAACTGTTCTCAGAAATACAAAACAGAAGGGTTTTTTTTTTTCTGCCTCTAAAAACTGAGCTTAAAATATGCCTCCAAGCGACTTAATGTGCATGGATACATAGGATAACAATAGTTGCTAAAACCGCTAAACTCCTCTATGAGCAGTGTTTTTTTTTTTTTTTTTTTTTTTTTTAAAGCGCTGTCAAAATTAGATTTTTGTTGCCCCCCAGGTGAGTTATGCCATAATATGCTAGTATGTATGGTATATTAGTACATTATGGCAGACTTGCCTGTCAAACAGTGCCCTCCCAACGCTGTGTTGGGATCGATCTGGAGAACCCCTGGCACTACCATCTTTGCCCCGGTCTTCCTTCCGGGTCCTGTACCTTTTTTTTAGCCTTGTCATAGGTCAAGCCATGATGACATCACTCCCGTACATGCGCACGGGAGTCACATCGCCATGGCACAGATCAGGGCCGTAAATGTTCACTGAGCTGCGCATGTGCATCTCGGTGTACATGACAGCTGACAGGCAGGAGGATGCATTTATGGCAGAAGAGACCAATAGAGGATCTTTTCTGTTATAAATACCGTGCATATCAGCAACTCTTTGACTTTGCTTCCACTTTAAGCCAAAGTGCATGGACCCTCAAAGCTGAATTCCGGGTATGTTAACTTTTTACGTAGTTGCGTTCATCCAGCTTAGACAAGCGAGTGACCTCCTGTGATGACACTGCAGCAGGGCAGCCACTCAGTATGGGACCTGGAAGCTTTTGGAGATCAATGTTGTTGCTGTGAATACTACAGTGATTTCCAACTTCCACGGGAATCCCATAGGTATGGCACATACGTACTTCTACTGGTCCAAGCTGGATCAATGCAAGTTTGTAAACATTGCCATACCTAAAACAACCAATCACTGGAATGCCTTGGAGCGGCGATGTCACCCTTAGGCTTCCTATGGCCCATTAGTTGTTGGTGCTCCCTCCTCTCCTTTGAAGCCATCACTAGCTGACATAAGGGAACTGATCACGTAACCAGACTGAAGCGGCTTGAAATAGCGAAGTATTCAGATCGATCTTACACAGGTTAGTTAGCTTAGGTATTACGAGAGGGGGAGGGAGCAGCATCAAGATTAGTTGGGTATATCCAAGGATACTACTTTAATACTGCCTACAATGCTCAAGGCAGAATCGGTATTTGAATTATAGCTGTAGATTATTATTCATCACTTTTAATATTGTGTTTTTGTTTTTTGTTTTTTCACCTGCATCACCACAAACGCATTGATGTGAATGGGGCCATGTGGTGGGGTGACATTGAATAGGGAGTGATCCTCATGTATGGGTAGAAGCAGGGACCTCATGCCGCCTGATCAAAGGGGAACTAGGGGTTGGCTGCCTTTTTTATTTATATTCTTTTTAACTATTTTTGGCCAACCCTTAGCGACGTTCACACATCTGACTGTCCTCTAATGTCTCTGGCCGCTTTTAGAACCAGTGGCTTACAAACCACAAGTCTACTGCTAACCACAGGGAACATTTATGAAAATAGATCACAGGGAATGGTAAAAAGTTACCAGTCAGAAGAAATATTTAGAAAATGAAAACGTCTGGTTGCTCTTCTGTGAAAAGTTCCTTTTTTTCCCCTTCGTATGCCAGTTTACATAAATTACATCTTGTCTGCGTAGCTAATGTTGGGCCATTTAGTCTGTTAGAGAGGATCTTTTACAACTACACAGAAAACGTTACGCAATTCATTTTTTAAGGGGTTTTTTTTTTTTTTTTGTTAAAGACCTCCCTTCCTGCACAGTGACAAAGCATCCTTGCTCAACTGCTACATGTTTCTGTCAAAGAATGTTGAGCTAGGCACAAAGTATTTTTCTAGGAAGAAAACATTCAACAATATAAGACTTAAAGGATAAATTCACCTTTTGAAATAAAAATAAATAAATGCACATCTTTTTGCAGGTAAAAAACCCCCCGAAATGCATTTATTTATTTACTTGACACTTCCAAAGCATTGCACCTGTGATCAGCAGATGGTGCCATGCAGGACTCCTGCAGACCTGTCAGTGTATTGGTCTGCTCATACATCGTACGGGCAGATACTCACTGACAGGAAGAGAGAATGAACTTAACAGCGCCATGGTAGCTCATGCAGAACTACAAGCCTTTACAGCCGTTGGTACATGTAGTTTTACATTTACAGGATTCTGTGAATTCTTTTTTTTTTTTTTTTTTTAAACCGTGCCACCAAGCGGGGAGCGGGGGCTGAAAAAGCCCCACTAGCTGTCGCTTTATTCAGCAGAGTGGGCATCGGCTCCTGCAGTGGAAACATGTTACATTTTCCACCCAAAACTTGGTGGAACACGTAACATGTTCCCAAAGGTGAACATATCCTTTAATATAAGCCTACAGAGGCAGGACTTACTGGTTGGCGTAAGCTGTTGTCAGCAGTCTCTTGGCTAGGCAGGTTTAAAGTAGAAAAGTAGAATTATAGGAAAAATGTGGGTTTTTTTTGGTACAGTAAGGGAGGGTTCTAACCCCTGACAGATTTGTTCCATTGTGGAGACTTCCCTTCACTTCCTGTCTCATAGCCAAACTGAAAGTGAGAGGAAATCCCTGCACATGAAGGGAATATCTTTGGGAACCCCCAGGTCATCCTAACTAGTGTCCCCATTGAAAGATTTCTCCTCCATTACTTTTCTTGGGGCAACTCAAAATTTTGGGATTTTCTTTTACGCTCTCTTTCAATGATAATGGTAAAACAGACAAATAGAGAGGGTGGATCTCCTTAACGGGGGCACAGACGGCAATAAAACCTAACGTGTTCTGAGCCTTCTCTGCTCCACTAAAAAAAAAAAAAAAGTTTTGCCATTAGTTATCCTTTAATTGGTTGGTGACGTGGTGCCAGTATAGCTGGGATTGTATCTGGAAACTAGAAGTAGAGTGCTGGATGGTACTTGGATAGGAGGCTTGCTGTGGGGGCACTCGGCAGGGGGGAGGAGCCAGGACTGCCAGTGTGGGACCCAAAAGGAAGAGTATTGGGGCTGCTCTGTGCAAAACCATTATACTGAATAGGTGTGATATGTTTGTTGTTTAAAAAAGAATTCCAACCTTTAGAATCACTTTAAAGAACCCATGCCTAATATTATTGCAGAGTAAAGGTTTTACCGGTTTGTCCCCGGCCGCTTAGTAGGGGGAGCCTGCAGGGCTGTCAGTAATGGGAGTAAGAGAGAGGGGGTGGCCGCTATTGAGTAGGGGAGAGGTGAAGGGAATGAAGAGGAGGGCAGAGCGCTGCCTGTGTGGGAGGTTGTGGTATCGAAGTATAGCAGGCGGTGTATTGGCTGTGGAGCAAAGAGGGGAGAGAATTCTGGGGTAAACCAGTGTTTATCCTAGCTGCTAGGCAATGCGTTTTGGAGAAATATGTTACTTTTTAAAGCCAAAGGATTGTGTAAGGAAGTCACGGGGCAATATATACTCTAAAAGGAGGTATCGGGATCAAAAGTGAATGGAAAATGGTGAGGAAAAGTGCTTCATCATTGGTCGGTGGGGGAGGAATAGTGCCTTATTGTTGGTGTCAGTGGGAGGAATAGTATCCCATCATTGGTGTCAGTAGGTGGATTAGTACCTCATTATTGGTGTCAGTGCGAGGAATAGTGCCCCATCGCTTGGTGTCAGTGGGAGGAATAGTGCCCCATCGCTTGGTGTCAGTGGGAGGAATAGTGCCCCATCGCTTGGTGTCAGTGGGAGGAATAGTGCCCCATCGCTTGGTGTCAGTGGGAGGAATCATGCCCCATTGCTTGGTATCGGTGAGAGGAATAGTGCCCCATCGCTTGGTATCAGTGGGAGGAATAGTGCCCCATCGCTTGGTGTCAGTGGGAGGAATAGTGCCCCATCGCTTGGTGTCGGTGGGAGGAATTGTGCCCCATCGCTTGGTGTCGGTGGGAGGAATCGTGCCCCATCGCTTGGTGTCGGTGGGAGGAATCGTGCCCCATCGCTTGGTGTCAGGTGGGAGGAATCATGCCCCATCGCTTGGTATCAGTGAGAGGAATCGTGCCCCATCGCTTCAGTGAGAGGAATCGGTGTCGGTGTGGGGGAGGAATCGTGCCCCATCGCTTGGTGTCGGTGGGAGGAATCGTGCCCCATCGCTTGGTGTCGGTGGGAGGAATCGTGCCCCATCGCTTGGTGTCGGTGGGAGGAATCGTTTTGCCCCATCGCTTGGTGTCGGTGGGAGGAATCGTGCCCCATCGCTTGGTGTCGGTGGGAGGAATCGTGCGTGCCCCATCGCTTGGTGTCGGTGGGAGGAATCGTTGCCCCATCGCTTGGTGTCGGTGGGAGGAATCGTGCCCCATCGCTTGGTGTCGGTGGGAGGAAATCGTTGCCCCATCGCTTGGTGTCGGTGGGAGGAATCGTGCCCCATCGCTTGGTGTCGGTGGGAGGAAGGAATCGTGCCCCATCGCTTGGTGTCGGTGGGAGGAGGAATCGTGCCCCATCGCTTGGTGTCGGTGGGAGGAAGGAATCGTGCCCCATCGCTTGGTGTCGGTGGGAGGATCGCTTGGTGTCGGGGGAGGAATCGTGCCCCATCGCTTGGTGTCGGTGGGAGGAGGGAAATCGTGCCCCATCGCTTGGTGTCGGTGGGAGGAAGGAATCGTGCCCCATCGCTTGGTGTCGGTGGGAGGAAGGAATCGTGCCCCATCGCTTGGTGTCGGTGGGAGGAAGGAATCGTGCCCCATCGCTTGGTGTCGGTGGGAGGAAGGAATCGTGCCCCATCGCTTGGTGTCGGTGGGAGGAAGGAATCGTGCCCCATCGCTTGGTGTCGGTGGGAGGAAGGAATCGTGCCCCATCGCTTGGTGTCGGTGGGAGGAAGGAATCGTGCCCCATCGCTTGGTGTCGGTGGGAGGAAGGAATCGTGCCCCATCGCTTGGTGTCGGTGGGAGGAAGGAATCGTGCCCCATCGCTTGGTGTCGGTGGGAGGAAGGAATCGTGCCCCATCGCTTGGTGTCGGTGGGAGGAAGGAATCGTGCCCCATCGCTTTGGGTCACTGAGAGGAATAGTGCCGAAGGGACACGATAAAGGCAAGCAAAGGACTACAGTTTGGAGTCCACTGGTATAGACAGTGGGACGTCACTGAAGCTAATTCATACTAATGGTGTTTTTCATGCGTGGTTTTTATTGTTCAAGTTTATGACAGGTTTACCTTGAGGCTTTATTGGCAATACACAGAGAGGAAGCAGGTTTTCTGCAGTGATTAGTTTCTTTTTCCTGAGAACTGTGCAGTGAATCCTCTGTGACTCTGGGTGGTTTTTGCCAAGGTTGTGACTGCTGGATTCCGACCCAATATTGGCCTGTGTTCATGTTTAACTTTGAAAAATTCCAGTAAGAGCAGACGCTTATTTGTTTTAAAGGTCATTGTCTCAGAATTTATTGCGTTTTTTTCATTTTCTTGATTTGTTTGTGTGCTTGACCCATTCTCTCCACAGCAAGCTTGTTTTTCTCTGAAAATAATTTTCACCTGTAATCCAGTAAAAGTACTTATTCTCACATTTATCTGTGATTTAAAAGGGGCTTATCTACTTCTGTATCTCTTAAATGACCTCTTTGTACCTTCTCTGGCCTAAGCATCCTAGATCATGTGGTCTCCGGTTGTGATTGAGCATGGCTGGAGTTTGAGGCAAGAGGCCTGTTCTTTTCATCCAGGAGACTCTCTTAACCACTTCCAGACACTTTCAGCCCCTTCCTGTCCAGGCCAATTTTCAGCTTTCAGTGCTATCACACTTTGAATAACAATTGCGCGGTCATGCGACACTGTAGCCATATGAATTTTTTAGCATTTTGTTTTAGCTAAATAAAACTTTATTTTGGTGGTATTTATTCACCACTGGGATTTTTATTATTTTTTTGCTATATAAATAAAAAAGTCCAAACATTTTGAAAATAAGTGTTTTTCTTATAAAATTTTGCAAATAAATAATCTTTCTTGATAAATCTTGGCCAAAATGTATTCAGCTATCTTTTTAGTAAAAAAAAAAAAAATAACCCAAATTAGTTTATACCAAAAAATTATTTTTCAAAACAAATTTCACATTTTTTTAATTTTATATTATTTTTTTTAAACATACTGTCACCCTAGCAGTACAGTGTCACCATAGTGACACTATACTACTGTGTGGGGGTGATGATTTTTTTTTTTTTTTTTTTTTTTTTTTTTTTTTTTTACACTGATTGCTTTTGCAATCATTTCTCCTTCTCTCTGGCTGCATACTTGCAGCCATTGAGAAATACTGTGCGAGCTGTGATTGGTCACAGTTTGTTACATGGTACTGTTGTGAATAGCCTTGTACCATGTAACCTCTGTGATCAATCACAGATTTCACTAGTAGTAAGCAATGATGTCAGATGTGACATCTTGCCTACTACTATTCATGTGATCACTGATTGGCCAATCAGTGATCCCATGATCGGGACCTCACACAGAGGTCCCGTACAGCAATCGGTGTTCCACTGTGTCTGGAGGACACAACGGGCAC